CCACTCGGTAAATCGCCCCACTCAGTAAACCTCCCCACCTCGGTAACCGTCCCCACTCGGTAACCATCCCCACTCGGTAAAACTCCCCACTCAGTAAACCTCCCCACTCGGTAAACCTCTCCACTCGGTAACCGTCCCCACTCGGTAAACTTCCCCACTCGGTAAACTTCCCCACTCGGTAACCCTCCCTACTCAGTAAACTTCCCCACTCAGTAACCATCCCCACTCGGTAACCGTCCCCACTCAGTAAACCTCCCCACCTTGGTACACCTCCCCACTCGGTAAACTTCCCCACTCGGTAAACCTCCCCACTCAGTACACCTCCCCACTCGGTAACCCTCCCCACTCGGTAAATCACCCCACTCAGTAACCCTCCCCACTCAAAAACCCTGTTGTTGTTACGGCCATCAAGTCAGTTCCGACTCATAGCCACCCTATGTACAATTCTAAAAACAAACCAAACTCACTGCCATCGAGTCAGATCCGACTTACAGTGACCTCTCCTTGGGTTTCCAAGGTAGTGTCACTACGGAAGTAGATTGCCCAATCTTCCTTCTGAGGAGTGCCGGGTGGGTTTGAACTGCCAGGCTTGTGGTTAGCAGTCAAATGCCTTAGGCACTACGTCACCAGAGCTCCCACGAACAACACTAGGTGATGATAACTGTGGTAGTTAAGGTTGTGTGTCAGCTTGGCTGGTCCTGGCCGGGCAGCTGGATGTAGTGTTCCCCGTGATGAGACTGGTCATCAGCTCCATGGTGGAATCTACTGGGAGCTGCTGAGTGGCTGCCTGAGGGAGGTGGGCTGCTTCCTGTATATAAGGAGAAGCCTCAGGGAATGGTCTCTAGCTTATGGCACACTTGGACCCTGCATGTAGCCGCGTCATTGTTCAGCAGCCTGCCATGCTCTGCCAACCTTGAGGCTTTCAGTGGACTTGAATTAACGGCCTGCCACGTGGTTTTGTAACATCAGGATTGTGCCTTTTTACTTGTCAACCTTGGGCCTGTCAGTGCAATTGAGATTAAATATAAAATGGTTCTAGGTTCCATATTTGAGCATTTTTGTTTCTTGCTGTCACCAAGACCAATTTTCATAGTACAAAATGTCACCAAATGTCACCAACTACACTGATACGAGGAGGCAAATGGTCTGTTGTCAGAACTAGCTTCTCGTTTCTGAAAAAATAATATCTCAAGTTGAGAAAATCTTCCCATTATCGTCTATAGAAAAAACATTACTAAAAAGAAGCTTTTGAAGTCTTGGGAAGCATCAGGCGCTGACTGTGGCATCACGAGAGCCAGCCCGCGTTCTGGCTGTTCCAGAACACTCCAGCTCGTGTTCCAAATTAGTCGTCAATGGCATTGATTTTTCGCAAGCTCAGTCCTTCCCCAGCTTCAATTCAATGCACAAATGTAGCTCTTTTTAAATTCTTGAAATACAACTGGCACAATTTTCATCATGGCCTTTTTTCCTACCATATAATTAATCATCTCAAAACGGTTTTGATTGAAATGACAAAACCAAGTCCATGGTACATAATTGGAACTTCTAACAAATTTTGATTAGAAACTTGTTTGAAATCCAGGCCATTTCAGATACTGAGAAATCAACCGATTTTAGTGAAAAGGTATTTTCACAAAGGTGCCTACCAAACACTCTTGGTTTAGAGCATAGAGTGTTTGAAGCTTTGATCTCTTGGTTTTGTAAAGTCATAATACAACGTTGCTCTTCATTGAAAAGCATATATATGTACTTTTTTTAAAAAAAAAAATTCTAACTGAATGGTGACTATGCATTTGAAAAGAATCTAATGATGTATATACTTCAGATGTAGACATAGAAAACTTTTTAACTTTTCAGTCTGGAAAATCCCAAACATGCAAAAGGAGAGACAAAAGTGTCCTGAACCCCCGTGTGCCTGTCATGAACCCTCAACTCTCAACTCACAGCCCATTTCCTTTCATCTCTGTTTCCCACCAACTCTCCTCCCCAGCCCACACTTAATTGTTTTTAAGCAAATTCTGCAGTCTGAAAGCACAGCTGACAGACATTGCCCTCGAATATTTGCGTCTGAGCCGTTGGGTGTGGTGACATAAGTCACTGAGTACACACACACACTTCTCCATCTTGTCAGCTGAACACATATCCATAGCCCTGTCCACTGCAGATTTGATCCAGCTTATCCTATTCCTTGACCGCAAACATAGGTGTGTCTATATTAATTACAATAAAACCTGAATAGAATTCAATTTCCTAGGTTTCTCCAAAAGTGAAACAGAACTACCACATGACCCAGCACTTCCATTCCTACGTAGTCACCCAAAAGAATTGGAAGCAGGGACCCAAACAGACACTTGTACACCAATGTTCATCACAGCACTAGTCACTGAAGGGTTAATAAAATCAAATCTTACAATGCACATTCTTGGCGAAAAAGGAACATACACTCCTGGAAACAGCCAACTACCCCACCCTATGATGATTGATGTCTGATTCTCATTAGAAGTTCCAGTTTGGTACCCCTGGAAATAAGCTAACCAACAAACCCCCTAATGATGAATGTCTAGTTCTTGTCAAAATCTAGTTTCTGAACAGAGACTACAGGAAAGAAACAATAAAACAATAAGGGCACTATGACCCACACGGAAAGAACGAATCGACCTCAGGACCAGAGAGAATGACGTTTTCAACTGTCAATCAAAGAAACAAGGAACTCTGAAAAAGGAATATACAAGCACCCGGACTTAGTCAGGGCTGCGGCTCTCTCTTAGTTTCTGAGAGCCAGCATTTATGCTTATGTGATTTTACTCTTTAAATAAACTTTTCTTTCCTCTTCCTCTGGCCTGGTTCCTCCCCACATCGGTCATCTAACCTTATATTCACAACGGCCAGAAGGTAGAAACAACACAAGGGTCCACCAAAGGAACACTCCATTGGCAATGGGTTATGGGTAGATCCGTACAATGGAGTATTATTCAGTCTTAAAGAAGGAAGTTCTCACACATGCTAGACGCCTCTTGAAAACATGATGCTGAGTGAAAGAAGCCAGACACAAAAGGACAAGCATTGTATGATGCTACCTAATGAAGTGTCTAGGACAGGTACCTGCACAGTGACCAGTGTTTATTAGTGGTTGCCAGGGGCAAAGGGGAAGTGGGGAGGCATTGCTTAAGAGATACTGAATTTCTGTTAAGGATGACAAACAAATTCGGGAAGAGGGAGTGGTGATGGGTGTACAACGTGGACAGCATAATGAATGTCACCGAGCTGAACACGTAAAAATGACTGAAACGGCAAATGTTTTGTTCTATGTATTTCATCACAATAAAAAATGTTTGTCATTCAGTTTCCTTGAAATGTAATTCTTTCTCCATTTCTTTTTAAAACTGTAACTGAAATGTCTAAGTGAGTTTGTAAAGAAAAGTTAAAAAACAAAAATTTTAGGTACCCAACAAATTCTATGGTAAAATGAGTAAAATAATGAAGTTGGCCTGCCTGCCACACATTTCCCATCCCCGATTTGGGAGATAAAATGGGCACCGTTTCTGATGACTTGGTGTTGGGTGGCTTCAGGCCAGGTGACTGAGGACGAGTGCCACCCAATGAGAGAGCAAAGGAGGAAGATAAAGGTCTCCAGGACGTTCCTCACCTGGCTGAGCAGGTGTGCAGCTGAGGAGACGCACGTGGGCTGGACACAGAGCGGGACTGAGGAGTCACTGAGGCAGGGCTGGTGTTGAACCCACGAAAGCAGCGCGTTCCTCGGCGGAGGGAGCAGGGAGCGTGGTGTCCCGTTCAGAGGCCAATGCTGCAGGGTTGGAACTGAAGAGTGTCCTCCCCTCAGACAGACGCAGGGCCCTAATGACCCCAGTGGGTACAGCGTCACTGTGTAGTGGCCAAGGAAGCCCCACAAAGTGAACATGACAAGGGGAGACACACAGACTGCTCACGGAGAACTGGGAGGAAGAGGAAAGACAGGAGAGGAGCCCAGAGGGGCCGGCTCAAGAGTTTTCTGTTGGTTCCATTTTGCTTTGCTTTGCTTTTTAGGAGGAGGGATTGGGGCCCGTTTATAGGCTGAGATCAGGACCCTGTAGGAGAGGGGATGGCCACCAGAGCGAGGCCTGAGGGGTGGGCTGCCCAGCAGAGAGGCTGGCCTCGACTGGATGGAGAGATGGAGGAGCAGATGGGTGGGCAGGAGTGTGTTGGGGGGCAATTCTCAGCGGATTTGTTGCATTTCTGCACGATCTTGAGAGCAGGGACACCGCCATTTGGTTCCAGACCTTTTTTTTTTTTTTAACAATTACAAAAAGTGACTTTGTTTGCAGGTTAATTGCTCTTCTTTGTCATTAGGTTTTTTAAATTTTAATTTTGGCAGAACACTCATCAGTTTTTCCATCTTCAACTCAGTAACACTGGTCACAGTCACCATGCGCGCTGTCTCTTCCCATATTGTTCACCACCACTTAGAGTCACGACCCCCTAAGAGCCTCCTCTGCACTTTAGAGTCACTGCTGACAGTTGGATCCCATCTAGAGAACTCTTTGAAAGAGCCAGAGGATCTTGTGAGAACATTTGTACAGGAAACAGCTTGGAGGATAGAGATGGTGTTTCCTCTGAGCAGACCATAGTATGAGCAGGTACCATCTCCTTCCAGGGCAAAGGGCAGGCTTGCTTGCTGCCCACTTGTAAAGATTCCAGTCCCTTCAGCTTGGGGTTTCTAGGCTGTGATGCAAACCCACTTCCTGAGCCCTCTGCTTCGTCCCCATGGGGCTGGGGGACAAGCGACACAAACACAAAGCTTGCTGCTCTGTGTATTGTGAGTGTGGTGGTACCCTGTGCTCTCGTGGGAGATGCCAACGGCCATGGCAGCGAATGGGCAGCATGGGGCAGGGGCATGGCCTGGGCCGAGAAGAGGACACAGACCCAGGTCAGAGCTACACGGGGTGGAAAGTCAGGGATGCAAGAGAATCCACATGACTGAGGGAAGAGTAGCCTAGACTATAACCATGGTGGCCCGTCTGACAGGGAAGAAAGCCGCCAAGAGAAGGATGATAGACGGGGTGCAACTGGAGGGCGGACAGGTGGGAAGTCCTGTGAGGCTGAAGGGGTTGGAGGGAGAACTCCGGGAAGAGGGAGGGGCTTCTATCTGAGAGGGTACTGCCATTCAGGGCATCATCAGAGGTGGACCCACATAGTGTCGGATGACCCAATAAGCAAGGACTCACTTGTGCTTACTTACTGATCTGTAGTGAACAGTTGCACTTTTTTCACCACATCAAAGATTCTGCTTCCAGGTGTGGCTGGCATCTGTCTCTCTCCCAAACCCACAGCACCTTCCTACAGGATCAAAGCCTCTTTTCCAATTTACAGTCCCTGATGGGGATGGAGTCCCCAGTAAGCTAGTTAAGCATGGGCTGATATGCACTTACTTACTAACCTGTAGTGAACAGATTCACATGATTTTCACCACAGCTTTGATGCTTCCCTTGCTCACTGGGTAATCCTCCCCTGGACCCACACCATTACTGCAGATAGGGGATCAATGCCAGCTCAGGAAGGAAGCACCCCATTGAGGCTGGAGTCCAGGTGGGTAGAGGCTAGGTGTGGAGGTGGCCCAGTCTGTAGGTTTAAAGATGGAAAGTTGAAGAACTTAACGACAGCTAGTAGTTCTCTTTTTTCCCCATGAGGTAGGAAATAAGGAATTTACTGAGTGAGAGGCAGGAGTGGGATTTAGGGGTTCAGGGAGAGGGGCCAAGATTGTATTAACCATGAGGAAACAGAAGAAGGTGTGAGCAAGGGTTAAGTAACATCCACAGGGATTCCGGTGACTGAAAGACTTAAAACCATACATTCTAGATAGCACCCATCAGAAGGAACCCTGGGTGGTGCCAACGGTATTGCACTTGGCTGCTGACCCAAAGGCTGGGGGTTCAAGTGCACCAGAGGCATCTCTGAAGAAAGACCTGCCTGTCTCCTTCCTTAAAGTCAGCCCTGAAAACTCTAGGGAGCACAGCTCTACTGTGGTCGCCGTTAGTGGCCATCTAGTCCACTAGCCGCTGGGCTGGCAGCGTCAGCGGAGTAGCAAGGCGTGCCTCGCTGCTCAGCCATCCTCGGGGAAATGGGCCCAACGTGTCAGTGCCCTCCATGAGCCCCCTTGGCCGGCAACTGAGGAGGTAAGAGAGCTGGGCCTGAATGACTCCCCCACTCCCGACCTCAGGCGCCGGCCCCAGGAGGCTTTTCGGGAAGCCTTGCGGTTGGACAGGTACCTGTTGCTGCACCCGGACTTGCTCCGGTACATGAAGAACAGGTGAGAGCCGACCCCGCGGGCCCGGCCAGGCCCCTCTTCCTGGCAGACTCCTGACAGCTGGGGCTCTGGGGTGATTCGCAGGGTTTTGAGGTCTAAGGCCCTGGACTCCGAGCCTGGGCCCTCCTGCTGCTCCTAGCTCACTCTGTGCCAGAAGACTGGGCCTCAGGAGCTCGGCCGCCTGCGCTCCCCGGCCCTTGGCGGTGACGCAGGGACCCCAGGCTGGCCTCTTTTTGTAAAAGGAACGCCATCTGGTGGAGGGCCCTGCAGCCAGGAGAGGGCCCCAGGGAAGGGACGCACCTCTCAGCTCCCAGCGCCCCAGCTGCAGGCTTCCTACCGCTCCGCAGGGCTGGCCGTCGGGTCTCGTCCCCACCCCTGCCCGCTCCCCTCGCTGTCCTGATGACCCGACCCGCATTGCGCCCGCTTGCGTTCTGGAAGGACCCAAGACGACAAGTCTGAAGGGCTCTTCCGAGGGGAGCGCGCCGGTCGCCGGGCCCCGAGCGCGCAGTGCGCGGCCTCCTCGGCAGGTGGCGTCTTCGCTCGCCCCACTTCCAGTCGCCCTGGGCCCCGTCCGCGCGCCCGCGGGAGGGCAGGGTGGGGGTCCGCGCTGCCGACGCTC